CCTGATGTTTCTGCTGGTAACCTGAGAGTCAGCAGCTTTGAGAAACTGGTTAGATGAGTAGTGAAGGGGTGGGTTTCTTGCCTGGCCAAGTTTCTTTGGCATACTTCTTTTTTCGTGGCTCGTTGTGGGTCTCCGGTAGGTAAGGAGCTGTAACAGGTGTGGGGTTGAGAGTGACAGGTGGCTGTGGAGCCTCAGGGGCCAGGTCTACCTCTGGTGCTGGGTTAGGGAAAGGGAGAGGAAGCCCTCCCTGCATGGCAACACCTCCTGGAGCTCCTATCGGCTGGTTCTCATGACTGGTGGGAGGCAAGTCCCCATAGAGACCACCACCAAAGCCGTAGCCGTGCATGCGTTTTGAAGTCAAGTCATCAAAACCCAAAGTGTTCTGGCCCTCTAATCTCCGTTTCTACAGCAGGGATAGCAGAGCATCAGCTTCACAGTTCATACACTTAATACATGTTTACCTTTCCAAGTCATACAGCTAGACCACTGCAAATGGTAGTGTTACACTGGGCATACTGGGGCCACCCAGTGAGCTACACAGGACAACTTTTTATTTTTGCAAAAAATGCACATTTATCACCTTAAAAATTACATTTCTTTAACCATCCTGTATCTGACATCAAAACTCACCTTTATAGGGATGACAGCAGTCTGCACCATATTTCTGAAGCGCCCAACAGAGGGGTCTATATCCTCTGTAAAGATTTAAAGAACAGTTGGTATACATTAGCGCTGGGGGCATTTCTTCTCATTAGAATTCACAATCAACATATTTGATCAGTGACATATCAGCCATAAGCCACCTCACTGCAAACCCACATTAATTAATGTGTTTCTAGCCTGGAATGAAAAGTATCCAAATTTAGTTTATTTGGCTTAATCTTAACTAATCTAATCATCAAAGCTCATTTTCTTCTCGTGTACATGCTGTAAATAAAATAACAATCCACTAGTTTTTGGGTAACTAACTTGAGTACCTGGATTAATGATGGAATCTTCTTCACTGAAGGTAACTCTGGAATTTTTTCGTTTCCTCTTGGGCCTCTGGATTTCCAGGTTGCCTTCCTCGATGGTGAGGAGGGAGATGCGCTTGTTGTGAGCTGTGTTGAACTCTGTCAGGTTCTGGCAGGTTAAAAACATTACATATGAGCAAAATAGCTGCATGAATGTCAAAATATCCCAACATAACAACACGATATACCGGAACAAACTTGATAGAAAAAAACAGTATTATAAAGTGTCATATAGGGCTGGGCCATATTATACCGTTCACGGTAATACCGGTATAAAGTTAGGCAACAATAGGAAAATGAAATATCGCGATAGAATATGAGTAAAACGCGCATGCGCAGTGCCTTTGTTTTCATACGCACATGGCCGATTGTTGAGTGAAACAAATGAACCAGAATTGGTTTGTAAAAAATGGTGCAACTTCAGTGATGTGGAACTGGTTTGGTGTTTGTCCGTCAGATACATGACAAGGCACATTTTTTTGCAGAACATGCAAGCAGCCGTTGTATTTGTCAGACTAAGATGCTCTTAATTCTGGGAGTAATCTGGGTCCTAAACTCCGTATTCTTCAGGTCAAACGAACACTGCAGCATCACTGAGAGTTAAAAACTGTCTATATTCTTTAATCTTTAATAAAACGATCAGCATTGCTGCTTTACTAGGTGTAACTATGAAGTTTAACTTCCAGGCATCCATGAAAACAAAATTTATTACATTTAACGGAGTTAGAAGTTAGCAGGAAGCTAGCGGAAGTTAGTTCGCTAGTTTCGCTAGTTACCCAAGCATGATATTGCATGTTCTGACTCAGAGATTTCTGAATAAATTCAAACGTACAGCTCTGCTATCACTTCCAACATAAATGAAGACAGGAAACTAAACAGCAGTGACGTTTGTAGGGTTACTGAAGTTGGGCTAGCTGGTATATAATGATGTGCTACGTGATCGCTAGCGACACAGCTATGTTAGCATAACATAAACAGTGAAGCTGGAGGACGAACACTAACACTTTTCCACTTATAAAAGTTAACGTAGTTCCTGATAGTTAGAGACAAATGCAATCGCATGGCAGGATGGTGTAAACGGACCAAACTTCAGTCAGGAGAACAACTGAGATAATCCATCCACAATACGAGGTTAGTCTATTAATATACTGCAACAACATGGGAATAGAGCAGCTGCCAGAGAATTCAACATTAATGAATCAATGGTACAGAAGTGGAGGAAGCAAGAAGAATGAGTTGTAATAAAGTTTGATTTATCTGACTGCTTTGTTTCGCTTAATGTGCCTTATAATCCCGTGCACCTTATGGTCCGAAAAATACGTACTGCACACTGCAGTTTAATGTTGCAAAGCACCTCTTTTTAACTTCAGTGGATATTATACATGGTTATGCTCAGGATATGTCAGCCCATTTCTACTGGAAATGCCTTTTGGTTAAACTTTCAGCAAGGAATTTGCATTTGCACTGTTACATTTTTATAAAGCTTTAATGTACATAAAAACAGCTTCTTGTTTAAGTGAAAATAAATGGAAGGTTGTCTTTTTGCGCTAGTAATGTTGTGGAGTTGTATTTTGTCTCGCATCAATTATATCGTCAGTTATATCGTTATCGCAAATTTTCAAATATATATCGTGATAAATATTTTTGGCCATATCGCCCTGCTCTAGTGTCATATCGTGATAATTTTGTGAGGCCACATCGAAAAGGCTCGGATGAGCTTTCCAAAGTTCTACAAGTTGTGCCTCCATCCCTTGTGTCCAGATCACACGCTGCACTGCCGTGCTACTCCGTCTTTTTCACCGACATTTATGCGTTTGCGCGTGCGCAGTGTGAGCGGCTGCGGTGACACCCTCACGACGGTCGTGACAGCGATTGATGATCGGGAGCTGGTCGGGAGGTGTTAATCACTTCTCGTTCCCCACGTATACTACACGATGCACGATGAAGGCCAAACTCGGGCCGATCACCAAAACGGTCGCACGACTCAACAATCGGCTCAAAATGGGCCAAAAATCGCACAGTGTATGCCCAGCTTAACTTATAAAAATAACACGTGGAGTTTTCTAGTCAGAAGACGTATCGCAGTATCATTTGCATTATGAGTGAAGGGGTTACAAATTGAAGAGCTTAGCCTATTTAAACAGACCTAATTTAGTGTTTTTTAGTGCACCAAAATACATACTGTGGACCTGAGAGGTATTCACATCAGCCATGATATTCCTTTCCCGTGCAGTTCATTTTTCAGAATATAAACTAACTGTACCTCCAGTTCTGTCTCTTCTTCTGGAAGCCCGAGCAGTCCTTTCAGCTCCTCATCATCTCCTGTCTTGCTGTCCCCTGTGCCAGCACTGCCTTGGGTTTGAGGTTTCTCTCTGATGGTGTAAGTCCGTGTTGAGGCCCCAAAAGATATTGTAGAGTCTATGGGAACCTGCTGAGGCTTGTGGGCCTCCAGCCGAATGTGTCCAAGGAAAGTACCGTGTGCTAAATGATGACATCAAGCACAGTTTTAGGACTGATGTGTGTAGCTAAGCCTGATGTAATAATGAAACAACAACAATTCAAGGTAGTCAAACAATACATTTTGTCAATATTTGGTAACTTTTCTGACTTGCCTGACCCAGCAATATTAAATACTAATATAACAATGACCTCTGCATTAACAGAGGCCATGTTTAAGCACATAATGTCTGGTGTGATCAAACTGCAATTTTTCTTTATATCCAGTTATTCTTATAAATGTGATTTTTAGTCCATTCTTCATTTTATCATCTATAACATCATTTTCATTAATACGTTTTTGCTAATATTTTTAAAAAGGTCCAATGTGTGCCACTTTCTTGCCAAAACTCAGTTGCCAGCTGGTATATCATGTTTCTATTTATTTTTTGCAGCTGGTTATAACAAATGAGAAAGAGAGAATGCATAACTGCTACACAAGACAACTACTTCTTTTGAGTGCTCCCCTTAGCAGCCACCACCCACTCTTTCCCTTTTGCTGCATAGCCAACCGATATGTCATCTGCTCCATCCTTAGTCTCCAGCCTTACCTACATCTCACTCGCTCCTCAGTGTGCTGTATTCCTAGCCAACCAGTAATCCTGTCTAATTCCTTCATCTCCCCGACTACTGAATATTTGAATACTTTCTTGTACTGTGTTATTCCATGACAATGTCTCCTTGTCCTCTTTGCTCTGTCCAGACGATGCACCAAACAGCTTTGCCTGAGCACTTCAGCTGTATTTTCCCAGTCATCTGGTAAATTTCCCCTAAGACCCAGAGCCTGTCTCCTCAACTCCTCCCTAAATTTCACGCCAGCATTATTCCTCCATAAACTTCCACCATGGAATCTTTGGCTCTGCCATCACTCTGCTCTTCTTCTAGATTTCCAAAGTCATCGTACAGATGACCATCCAGTGCAGCTTAGCTACCACCTCACCACCACCTTGCAGTCTCCTGTCTGTTTATATAGTCCGAATTACACATTTATTACAAAAACAGGACCTTAAATAAACAATAAGGTTTCCAATTACAATCTGACCCTGATGCTTAGCATCATTGCTTTAAAAACTAGCTGATTATCAAAACAATTAGAATATTGTTGTGGATTATTTTTGTCTATCCAGCAGTCTATTGTTCAACAAATTATTTGAGCGATTATGAGCACTACTGGCTGCACGTAATAGATTAATTTTATTCCTTTTTAGCCCTTAGCTTTTTCAGACAGTAACGTAGAGTGTACAAGTATGACTGAAGACCATGTCTTACTGCTGTTGAGGTCTATGAGGAAGACCCTTTTCAGGTGTTTGTGATAGACTAGTGCAGCGTGAACACGAGAGCACGACTGATGGTCAATGGTGAAGTCGCACCAGTCGGGGTTCCTCCCAAATAGGTAGTACTTCTTTTCATCTATGATCAGTTTCTAGAAGGAGAGACACGAGTTAGTGACTTGGCTTTGAAAACAAGCCAGTGAAGAAGGCTGAATAACATTTCTGTGCCTCTGAGCCATAACTCCACAGTGTTGCTTCCACTGAAAAGCTTAAAACTCAGGGCTGATTCTACTGTCGCACCGTTTGAAGCCCTGCAGCCAAAGCAGACTGTCAGGCTCGTATCTGGTGCATTCAATTAACCCTACTACCAACCTTATTCTTGCAGTTTACAAGTATGCAATACTATAAATTGTTGGTCTAGTGTAACATCTCCAAACTTCCAGTTACCTCTATCAGTTTGTCCCCCTTCATCACGTCCAGGTGGAGCCCAGGGGGCGGTTTGCCTGCCCTAAGAGAAAACATTTTTAAACATTAAAACTGTCTAAGTTAATGTTATACGTGGACAGTGGATCATTATTCTAAATAAATGGCTACACTCCATTGTCTCCCCTTGCTGCAGTTAAGGATTTGTTCATAGAAACGACTCACTCACCTCTGCACTCATAGAAACGTGTTCAAGATTGATACTTTTACATACAGAAAAACTTATTAAATTATATCCTGCGTATACATGTGATTTATTTCCTCTTTTCATGATCAGAATTAAAACTGCACATAAACGATGGGTCTTAATAAGAAAAAAAGAGGCAACGCCATTTGTAGATACACACCAGCGTTAGCCTGCTCAGATGCTAACATTAGCCACTGTGAAAACCAGCTATTCTCCTCTGTAGAAAGTTACATTGATAATTAAGTGAATGCTAATTTGCTCATTTGCACCTGATATCACATAACAAGCTAACGGCTACAACTTTAGCACGTGCATTTTCTCACCATGATGGACAATCAAAAGGAGGGGGACTGTCTTTGCTTATTTTAGTCGCCATCTTGCCTCAGCTTCTCAAAGCAGAGCTGCATGCTGGGTAAACGTCACTTCGGATTACTGGGAAATGTAGTCCTGTAGCACTGCCAAACATTGAATAGAATATTAGACTACGTTTTCTCATTTACTCCGACTTTTACTTAAAATAAGTGGTAATACAAAATGATACATGAATTTTCTAAGAATGTTTAAACCCATGGGGGGGGGGGAATTAAACTAACACCAACTTTGAGTTACCACAAGAACCAGCAGGGGTCCCTATCCCCCAAATTTCTAAGTTAACACTGTTAAAAGGTCAAATCAGATAAAATAACTGATATTTTGTTTCGTGAGCAGCTGGTGGTTTGAATGAAGCTAGGACTGTGGGTCTATCTATTTGGGGCAACGGTACTAATAGCTGGTGTGGGCGGACTCTGTGTCAAGCACTGATCTTTAGAGCTTTTTGTGGTTCTTGGAAACTGTGAGTTGAGTCAAACGCTAAAAACCACTGCCTGCCTTCCTTGATATGTCAAGGTGGGAGGATATCTAGCCTCTCCTTGCTGCAGATAGAAGTGTCATAGGCTTAGAAAAGCACTAAGAGCAGGAAGTGCTGAGAGAGAAAGATGACACATGGCTAAAACGAATATCACAAAGAGCCTGAAATATTAGTGAAGAAAAGCTATCAGTGTGTCCTCGCATCTGTGCTCTGAGAGTTGCTCTTTTGCATTTTTAAAGGTTATCATAGTGCATATGTTTATTTAAACCTTGCGCAATGTGTTCACACTGATTTTGGCCACACCGTTAAGTAGAGCAGCTTGACTATCAAACAATCAAAAAGAAGTATAACATGTTCACACTGCAAAATTGCAATTGCGATTTGCTCCTTTTAAAGTCTGTCATCCTCTCCCCCTTTCTCTCCCTCTCTCTCTTTCACTCTTACACACACACACCCACACACACCCAAAAAATTAAGACATATAAAAAGCTCAAAGTTAGAGTGGGGATGTTTTATTTTATTCTTCATAGCAGGCTTTATGCTGTAATCCCCAAAAATTTAATAAAACATTCTTTTGGATACTTATTCACCATCTTCACAGCAATGAGGCTTTGCCAGATTGCTTTGTCCCCGTATGTGAATGCACAAGTTGTGCAAAGAGATCCTGTAACTTCCTCATTCACTTTTGTGGTTTTTAACTGAGAAAGCACCCCCGTTTTGTGCTGCGCTTGTCATTTGCTGCCTGCCTTCATTTTTGGTTGCACACACTCAGAGGCAGCAGTGATGGCAGGCGCCACTGCTTTGCCACTTCAGGAATTCATCGCATCATTGGACGATACCTGTCTGCCAAAACTTTTGCAAGTTTGCTCTGGAGTATATTTCCAAGGTAGTTTTTTATTATTATTATTATTACTTTTCCTCAGTGAGATGGCGTATACAGAAGGACAGCACTTACGAGATTATAGATTACTTCATTGCTGTGCGCTTCTCTGTGTTGTGTCTCTCTTTCATAAATTCAAAGTTACAATCTAGTGTACATTCCTTTTACATTTTGTACATTTTTAACCCTAAATTAGACGTTATTATATATAAAAAGAACAGTGAGCATTTGTTGTATTGCTCATGGCTCGCAACTGGAAACAATTCCCATTAGAGTGTATGCGTTCATGTGCTAGTTAAGAAATCATAATCATTTTTGTTCCTTCAGTTTCTTGTTTTCCATTCCAGGTTCTATATATGAAATTTCTGGGAGTGAAGTGTGCTTTTCCACTGGGGATCTAATAAAGGTCACTAAAATTGAGCTCCTATCAGTTTCCTGTCAAGACGTAGCAAACAATGAAACATTTGAGCTGCCTATCAGCCACACAGGTTGGTCTAGAGAAATTCTTGTAAGAATGGTTAAATCTATTTTGTAGAACTACAAAAAGACTTTTCTTTTCTTCTCAGGCTTGTTCAGGGTCGTGCCAGAGGAGATGCCGTACAGTACGGTAGAGGAGATGGTCAGCATGAGGCCGGTAGGCCTCGACTCCTCTCTTCCCTTCACTTTCTCCAGCCACTCCAAGATGACCATTGGCAATTTAGCACTGGGAGCTGGGACAGCTTTGACTGTGCTCTCTGTTGAGAAGCACAAGGATCAAGAGGATCAAGTCCGCTGCCTTATTCGAGGACAACAAGAAGCCTCAGCTGAAGTGTGCATCCCTGTTTCTTTCCGAGGGGAGTTCTATGAGTGTGAGAGTGAGGAGCGCTTTACCCTGCGGGAGATCATGTCCTCGTCGTCCCTGCGTAGCCGAAGGTTTCGCTTTGTCAATGCTACCAAGTGTGATCGGCCTCTTATGCTCAGTCCAGTATACCATGTCCAGGCCGTCATGAACTGTAAGAATAACCTACTTTTTAACTATTTAACTACTATTTAACATAATGTTGATCTGGATTTGTTATTTGTGTGTGAACCCCACCGTGTGTTATGTTAATGCAAAGTTTGTGAACTTCCACTTTAACTTCCACCTTAATTGTGAAATACTTGGTTCATGACATTTTATTGTTCCTCTACATCTGTGCACATTTATGCACTACATAAACAACATTTGTGCATATTAAAATTTTACACTTGAAGCCATTGACATATAGTACATACCATGCTATAAAACAGTTAAAGTTAATGCCACCTTGAAAAACATCAGCATATCATTAAAAGCAATTAATCTATATGATGCACTGTTATGATTGCTTATGATTATATGATTGCTTATATTTGTAACCTCAATAATTTAAATTCAGAACAAAAAAAAGCATAGTTCACCTGTACTGCACTCATACCAAAGTTAAGTATACCTAATATGCATGACTGCCTTCCTCTCTTTTGTCTACAGTGAGGAAGAATGTGGTGAAGTTTCCATCCAGCTTAGAAGTGGATGTGGTCGATGTCACCGAGCTGTGTAAAGATGTGCATTTTATTGTACCCCTTTCTCTGAGTGAAGTCCACTCTGAGCCGAATAAATCATTCCCTGGAGTGGTGGAGATCATCGAAGACCCAGAGACGCGCTCCCTGTTCAAGTGCAGCTGGCTACCGGAGCTTCGCAAGAATGAGCACCTGATTTTTCACAAAAAAGGAACCTCGCCCATGATTTTATTATCCACTTTGAAAAGCAGGAAAACACCGCAGTACTTCCTGGTGTCTCAGCAATATGGTGGACGTTTCCGGAGACGGCCAAGAGAGTTTAATTCAGTATACGAGCTGTACGTTGCTTCAATCCACGCACCAGGTCTGAAGGTCAGCGTAACAAGGAACTGTGAGGAAGTGGAAGAGGAGGGACTCCCTGCCCTCAGTGTGGGGGAACAGCTTGAGGTTGTGCGCTGCGATAGGATGGTTTTACCCTGTGAAGGCAAAGCAGGACAGAAGCAGTCGGTAGAGGCTCTTTTGTGTTATCGCCTTCAAGAGTCGGACGATGATGATGATGATGATGATGAGGATCAGGTGAAAAGGGAGGATGAAAAGGAAGAGATTATTATGCCTCTTTACATGGAGGGTCACTTTGTGGAAGTACTCAGTGACAACAGGAAGTACAAACTCAGTGACTTGGGGAAGGAGTTTAGCTTGCCTCTGGATGTTAAAGTGGTGGGCCGTGATACAGAACTCGAGAAGGATCCCCTCTATGGGTTCTCATGTCTCAGAATAGAGGCAGCTATGTTGGAACCCACCATTCAGGCAAGCTTTGTACACAAGCCAGAGTACTGTTTCGAGATCCCAACGCAGTGGCTCTCAATGTCTGTCTATTTTACTACAGACCCCCTCCCATGGCCCAAAGATCAACCCCCCACGTGTCAAGTGGAAAGAATTACCGAAGTTGCAGACACATTCTTTTATGAGTTTCGCAAACGTGGTAACTCAGATGCGGAGCCGCCACCTCGACCACCAAAGCGAAACATGTCATTTTCGGCACCTCCCAAAAAAACAAAGAAATCAAAGAAGGCAAACAAATCCAAACATCAAGGAGACAAAAGCGTCCCAACCAAACAGTTCAGCGACTTGACTTTGAATAACAAAAAGAGGCCCCCCGCCCCACCACCTCCCGTGAGTGACTCTTTTCATGCTTGTATAACATTTTCGAAAGCTATTATTATAAAGGCTAAAGCTCAGCTTAGGTTGTCTAGATTTTCTTGTCACATCAGGTTTCTCTTGAAACCCCACTACGGTGAAACTAATATACAGATTCTCATAATGTGACTTTCAGGAAATGAACTAAGCAAAAATAACAAATTGGTGCTTCCACTTTTTTCCTGTGGTAAATACGCCATGCATGTAATAAAACAGAAGTTTCCTCTTTTGTGCAGGCT